AGCAGCCACTGCAGGGTGGCCTTCCCACCGAGGGGGGAACGGAGGAGCCGGACCGCAGAGGCGTTGTGAAAAGCTCCACCTGGTCGGGTGTTTGCACTGTGATCCTGGTAGCCTGCGTCCTGGTCTTTCTCCTCGGCATCGTCCTCCACAACATGTCGTGCATTTCCAAGCGCTTCACGGTGATCTCCTGTGGCTGAGGCGGGGAGAGGGTTGTGCTCCCCCGGGGGTTGGGTTGGGTCAGTGGTGGTGGTGGTGGTGGTGATGGTGGTGGTGGGATGGAGCGAGACAGTTCACCGCAGCTTTGCCCAATGACTGCAGAACGCTGTGCACCGGGGCAGCGGTGCGCTGGCCTGGCCGTGGCCCCCGGCGGTGCGGCATCAGGCCTCTTGGCAGCGTGCGGAGAAGACCACGTCCCATGCCTGGTGGCAGTGGCGCCAAGGAGGACTGCATGCGTCACCATAATCATTTATCAAAGGGACTGCAACCTACAGTGATTTTTTTATCGTGTTATGAGGTTAAAGGCATCTACGTAGCTGGTTATACTGCAAAGTATGCGGTGTGAGCTCTTCTCTAAACACAGTAGATTAAAATCAAAACTGCTCCATGTAGAATTAAAGGAGAATTGGTGCGCGACTCTGTACGAGGTGTTCAATACTAGTCCACACATGCATTATTTTTTAACGGGGGGGAGGGAGACAGGCTTGTAAAACCAAGAAATCGTTTATGTGGTAACGCATTTTATATGTTTTAAACTGCAGATTAATTAAACCAAGTTAGGAAGTTGTACTACAGTTTTTAAAAGGAAGCATTTCACAAGCCATTGTTCAGTTCTGTGGTGTGTGTTTTTTGCCTTTCTGTTTTTCCCCATCTTTTTCAGCTACAGGAAAGTGACACTTCCAGCATCTTTTACTTGGAGGAGCTTCCAAGCAAGGAAGCAAAGTGGGCTAGGAGGAATACCTAAAAATGCGGCCAAAATGGTTCTGCTTGTCTGTCTTCATGCAAAGGATGGCTTTGGACAGTAAACACTGGACACACTGTTTTACCTCCAGTCTGTCAGCAGGGCTTCCTGATGACCTGGCCTTCGTAGCCATTAGTGAAGAAATGGGTCATGAGAAGTCCTAGGACTCCTTCCTACAAGGACATGATAGAAAATTGATCGTCTTTTTCTAGAGGTTGAGTTTTAGTAATTGTTTTTAAAGAATTTAAACCTCTTTTGACTCTTCCTTTCCTAGGAGATGTAACTGTGCATCCATGGATGATGTAACACAGGAGTTGCTCTAAGGAAGCTTCACCATCCCAGCTAAGACCAAGGACCCTTAGGTGCAGTCATCTAGTAAGAGGCAGTGAGATAGCTGAGAGGAGAACCCAGGCCAGCCTAACCCTATACTGGGTGGGCTACCCCTCCTAAACCACTCTGGCTGTCCTGGTGTCAAAACCTCTGGGTGAGCATAACGAAGCCTTTTCCCACACTTCAGTCTTATAAACGCTGACGTTCGTAAGGACAGATTTGAAAAAAAAACAAGAAGTGTCTCCCTCCACCTGTGAGTGTCATGAAACCCCAGTCATTTGCAGTGCACTTCTTGGAAAGAGCCAAATTCCTGGACCTTCACTGCCGTAGCGCCTTGCTCTAAGCAGTCCCACGAGCTTTAGTAGTACTGCTTGTAAGTAAAATAGAGCTCAGTGTGAATTTGGGTATTTGGCAAGTCTGAAAGCTGAAATTAGTGTGAGATTTAGGGGTGGGGTGAAGGGGCACGTGACAGACCTTTAGTAAGATGGAGAAAGCTGTTGATTTGCACTGCTTCCTTTTGCAAGCATGACCACTTGTTGTCTACCTACTGCTCTTTCTAATAATTAATTTGAGATTGCTGAGTGCCATCTTCTAACACCAGAGAACATAATTTTGACTGTGCAGTGCTCACGTTGGCCCTGTAGACGTCGGTGGTTTTCTGATTGTGTCACAAAATCCAGTTGCTGGTTCACGATAAACATTCTCAGCTAGGACTTCTGTCAGGAGCATACCTCTAACTTCATGCTGGATTTCTTCCGCTCCCTGTTCCCAAACCACCATTTTCTTCCTTGATTCCTGTTCACTGAAGAGTAGCATATAAGGTGCTTAATTGTTACGGTGTGTGTCGGGTCATGTATGGAAAGGAACCATTGTGCTGATTTTTATCTACTGTCATATGTATGCGTAACACAGCAAAAAAAAAAAAAAAAAAGAATTCTCAGAATTCTCAGATACCACGTTCAATGCCTTTTTTGTGCAAGGCCCATGTGCAGTATGCCTTGAACCTGACTTAAGAGCTGTAACACATGGACACCTCTCCGCAGCATGTTTATTTTGGTTGCAGTAGCAGGAATTCCAAAATGTGTCTTGTGAACACGCTAGTCTTTTGTCACCAGTAGGTAGCCAGGTTGCTACTGATGTCCGTGCTACGCTGCTTATTGTGTAAAGGAAAGCCAGCTCACAAAAAAAAAAAATCTTGCCTTTCTAAGACTCTTGAGGAAGTGACCAGAAACGGGACTCGACCCTCTACTGCCTTATCTCCTGTAGCAACTGGTGGAGCGTATAGCACAGCTGGAAGATGCTCTGAGAACATCTGCACCAACTTCTGCGTTTGTTTGAGTTTGTCCATGGCCGCTCAAAAGCATGCAGCAGGCAAAGAGCAGGTCCTGGAGTTCCAGTGCTGATAGTGTTAACCTCCTCCTGGCCAAACCTGCCCGAAGCTCTTGAGGCCGAGGTTTCTCCGGCATCTCGAAAACCACCCCTCTTTGTCCCTGCGTGGAGGGCGCAGGATGAAAGAAATCAGAAATTAGGTTAAAATACCCCACTGCATAACACGTTATGCAACAGGCAGCCCTGGAGTTTATCCGGAATTAGCGACGTAAGTGTTCTGTTAGCAGAATACCATCCTGTATTCCATAGCACAGTACATTGTTTCGTTAGTATGAACTTCCTGTCGCTTCCGTGCCTGCTGCAATGCATGTTTGACCTAATTTCTGATCCGGACCTTTTCCCGTTCGCAGCCTTGTGTAAGAGCAATAAGTAAAACCTCAAGATGTCCGTCTGCGTGCGCATGCGTGCGTTCGTTCCTTCTTATAAATAGGAGTCCTGGAGATATTTCTGTTCTGGCTTTAAACTGGGACTTTTCGTTTTAAATTTGCAGCTGCCGCGTCGTGTCGGATCACCCAGCTTTTTTGCTGACTTGTGTCGGAGTAAAGAGTTTGTTGTAATGTGCAGTGTTAAAATGTTTCTCAAGTATGTCGATAGTCATACTTCTTTAAAAATGCAGTGCAGTCTGTCCCATTCCTTGGTCCAATACCTGGCATTAAAAAGTGATACTGCTGTATACACCTAACTTTTTTTTCTTTTCTCATTTAATTTTTGTTAAAAACAGCCTTGTCTTTGTACGTTTACTGTGTGGAGAAACACGCTGGGACTTGTGTCAAAATCATCAGGTTCTGGGCTACTTTTTGTTCTCTGGTGTCCAGTCAGAAATCACTGCCCAGTTCCACCGAAAGAAAGAAGGAAACTTACTGTGACTCCAGTACTCTTTGAGCAACCAAAATTTATGCTGAAACTTGTGGGTAGTTACTTGAGCACCTGCATTTTTAGAGCTAATTACTCTGTGTGTGAATGTGTATTTATTTGCTTGTTCAACGGGAAGGATGTATGTGTTGGGGTCCAGCTTCAGGGGTTTTTTTTTGTTGTAGAGGGTCTCAACTTCCATTTTTGGCTGATGCTTTCTTGGCAAACAGACTCTAGGGTTCACTCTGTGAAATTTTATTTAGTGAATTTTAAAAATTCAAAATATGCAATTTTGGTATGCGGGTTTTTTTTAGGAAATTGTGTGTTCAGTGGTTGTTCATGCTTAACCAAGATGTAAAGGAGCCTGGATGTTTTGTAAACATGGAGCAATCATGAGTCCGAAGTTTCATCTTGATTAATGGAGCTCAGTCTGAATAAAACATTAGCAGGAAAAGAATGACATCAAGTGAGTTATGGTACCTCTGTTACTTTGCCATCAAATGAAGGACATGGAAGGGAATTTGGCAGAATTGCTCCGTATTTTACAAGGGAGTGGCTGAAATTTGACTCTCGTCGTTTTAAGTGTCAAGTGTGGGTTGTGGTAAACAGTATGAAGGTTTTTCCTGTTTTAATTACCTTGGAATACAGAATTATAGCTGGTGACTACTCAGGCACACACAGATTTTTTTTTTTTTCTTTCTATTTTAATCAGATGACTTAAAAGTTCTAAGTAAACTTTTTGCTTATGGAAGTGAGGGATTATTGGCCTTGACTTAAGCATATATTGCTTAAGGGCTCCCCCTTCCCTTCGAGCCCCCCATCCCAGTCATTTTGTTATTGCTGGAGCCCTGGGCAGCCAACCTTTCTAATATTGCCAATTCTTTTTAGGGTAGAGATGGCTGACGTGGCAGTGGTTTTGTTACGTTCACAGCAGGGCTAAAACAAAACCAAACAATTCACACATGACTTGAGCTCTTCTGTAGGTGTCCCGATATCGAAAGCTCCTGGCACCAGTCTACTGTATAAGCTGGTCCAAGCCTCTACATTCCCTGGATCTTCTCACAGCAATGCCATGTAGTGGAGGGTATTGCCTCCTTCCAGTCATAGCAAGGGGCTGTACCCACCATCCACAGCTCAGCTGCCCCCAGGGAACATGGTCTGCTGGCATGAGACACTCGAGTACTGCAGGAGATGTTTGCATGTCAAGTGAGCACATCTCAGGTGAACGTTGGGTTTGAAACGCTTCCTTCTCCTCTTTGCACGGAAGCGTGGCTTGACATTTGGCTTTTCCAGACTTTTTCTGTGGGTGGATGGAGCAGGGAGGGAGAGAAGAAGGTACGTGGCAACAAATGAGTCCCAGAGTCGTCTGGGAGGCTGTGGAAGGATTTGCTGGCCTTGAAGGCAAAGAGCTTCAGTAGGGCAAGATTGTCTGGAAATGCTTCAAGGGATTTACAACATGCTGGTGACTTTTGTGGTGCTGTACACTGGCCACAGGCCGGACAGCTGGGGCTGTGTGTCCTTTCTCTTGTCACTTTACCTCTTGCATTCTCGTGTCAACAAATAAAGCTGCTTCCTTCATCCTCGAGTTGAACGGTTTTGCAGACATCTCTTAAGTTACCCTGAGAACCTCTAATGAAAAAAATTACCAAGTTCAGTGAAATTTAATGCTTAATAGATGTTCAGAAAATGCTTTTTTTCAAGCGTTTCCTTATGCTTCAATACGTTTTTATTTTAGCTCTAATTCCTGTAATCTTTTTGCTAAACATGTTCCTGAACATCAGAGGCA